AAAAAAAAACTCCCATGTTTCATTCTTTTATGTTCTTTTTTTGTGGTATGTTGTGCTTAGAAATTGATTGGAGTTTGGAGAGGTTGGTTAGCCATTAAATGAAAATATATTGGTTGTTCAAAATGTAAATTCCAAAGGGCTATTTGAATTATTAAGTTTCTTGATTCTGTGATTACGAATTATGAATTTCTTTCCCGTACGGTAGTTTTAGTGTTAGTATGGTATCATCTTATTCCTAGATTATTGTCACTACCTACGGTTTGATTGCTATCTTTTGCTTCGGTCGTCTTAATATCTTCTTTTTGTTATTGCTTGTTGTCACTGCTTCTTTTCATCTTTTTTTTTAAGCCGAGGGTCTAACGGGAATATCCTCTCTGCCCTCTCAGGTTAGGGGTAAGGTCTGCGGACACCCTACCCTCCCCAGATTCCACCAAGTGGAATCCACTAGGTTTGTCGTTGTTGTTGTTGTTGTTGATTTATTCTGGTCTGTATGCTAGCGTAGTGATATGCTAACATGAAATAAGAGAAAAATTATGTAGTATTAGAATGAAATGGACATGAATAGAGTGAAAAGAATACACTGGATTCATATAGTTAATCCTAACTAATTTGGAATTTAGGCGACAAGTAGAGCACTACTTCCAACCAAGAGATTGAAAGAGTTTTTGAGTCAGAAAGGAACCAATTTGGGTAAAGGCCATTGCAACACTATTGGTACGGGTTTTCAAGGAAAGGTGTTTACAAATTAGAAGTTTTTTAGATTGAGGCATAGTTTATTGATTGAAGGAATTAGGTCCTCAAGATTGTATAGTTAGGCCTTTGTAAAATGTATTTGTTAGTAAGAGCAGCCGGGTGCACGAAGCTCCCGCTATGCGCGGGTCCAAGGAAGGGGCGGACCATAAGAGTCTATTGTACGCAGTCTTACTCTGCATTTCTGCAAAAGACTGTTTCCACGGCTCGAACGCGTGACCTCCTGATCACATGATAGCAACTTTACTAGTTACGCCAAGGCTCCCCTTCAAGATGTATCTGTCAGTGACCAATGAATTGCTCTGAATATACCTCTATGAATCTACAGTGTGTTTTAGTTTGAACCATTTATGTGATCCTGTATGCATTTACAACGATTGCTTTCAAGACATGTAACCAATTTAACTAATTGTCAGTTCTTGAGAAGAAATGGAAGTGTTAGAAAATTAGTTCTACTATTTCATTATGTACAGCTCTGAGGACTAACATCAATTTGAAAGCGAGTAACTGGTGCATGTTACATTATTACTCTGTCATCATTCTTTTTATTGTCATGCATAAAAAAAATTGTTACAGTTTGATGGTTGTACATGCAGAAATAAGGCGGTCTTAAGTTGATAATGAATCACATGGAGGACAAGCAATTGAAGTTTAATCAACCTCTTCTCTCAGTTAGACGAATCTCTCCAGCAATGATTTCCCAGAGAGATGAGAAAAAGACAATTGACAATTCTTTTCGCGCTATCACACATCCTCCTCATTTCAAATCAGAACTGAAGTCGGGCCTAGTGGGGAAGCCAGGAACTGTACCTTTCCTCTGGGAAGATAGCCCCGGAAGACCTAAGGATGAGCGCGGACCACAAATTCATTTCACCGAAAATCCTCCTACTTTCCCAAAGCTTCCCCCTGGGTGGAAGTTAAGAGAGAACCAGGATTTTGAAAAAGATTTCGAAAGTACAAAGATTCAAACAGGAAATATTCTAAATGCAAAGCCGAGTTGCGACTATCTGGATGAAAATATAAAGAAGATCGAGAGTTTTGACAGCTCAAAAGAAATGACGGGGGATAAGGAAAATATTGAATCAGAAGATGGTGATGAAACATATTTGGATGCCCGGGATACACTTTCAAGAACTGAATCATCCTTCCTAAATTGTAATGTAAGTGGCTTAAGTGGATATGATGAGCCGAATGCAAAACCATTTAGAACGTCTTTAACGGATCCACGGGCTAAGGATTTGATGATGGGCCGGTTTCTACCAGCAGCTAAGGCCATGGCTTCAGACAAGACTTCGGAGACACCTTACTATGTTCGCAAGAAGCAACCACCTGTTCAGGATCAATCAAGACAGATAAAGAAGGTATTAAATGGGGATAGACGACCTCAATTGCGCTACGGACCTAGTTTTACACTTTATCATTCCCAAGCTCATGATAATGAAGAAGAAGAAAGTGATGATGACTGTTATGATAATGGAGATTTAGCAACTAAAGTTTGTGGATTGTTGCCTCATTTTTGCTTGAAAAGTTCGTTTCGTCTTCTCAATCTTGTACCTGGAATGAGTGTTAGAACTCGAGTACCTGTGTCTCCTGTCAGTAGAACCCAAACTGGATCCTTGTCTACTGCTTCTTGTAGCGGAACAGAGAATGAGGTCAATTCAACTTATGCTAATGATCCTTATGAGCATAAATCAATCCTTGGAAGTACTGCAGAAGCAAATGATGGCGAGGTCGAGTGCTTGGGCTTGCAGAAAAATACCTTCCAAAGTTTTCAAGAATTATTGTCTGATCAGAACAATAGCAGGGAAGTAGATCTGTCAACTCCTGTTGTAGAGAAAACTCTGTACATAGATATTGTGCATAAAATGGAATCTGTAGCTAAGATATCATGTTCTCCGGATAGAAAACCATCTAACTTACAACACGAGGACGTTGAGATACTTGAAAGGATAATAAAACAAAAACCATTTGTAGATTCTTCACTTGATTCGTCCGAGAAGTCTTCATTAAAGTCATATCTTCAAAGGAGAGTTGACTTCAGTCCACCACATTCAGCGGAAAATTTGAGCAATGGAAGGGAGACAAAAGCATTGACAGCTACCGGTCAAGCTCAAGACTGTTGCCAAGATGCAATGACCTTAACAAAGCCTGAGATTGACGTTAGAGAAACAACCAGAAAGCCAATTTTAAGAAGAGAGAAGGTGGAAAATTCATGCAAAGTGCACCCGGAGTTTCTTGTTCCACCACCTTTACCAAAATCTCCATCAGATTCATGGCTTTGCCGCACTTTGCCTTCATTATCCACAAAGAATGCACCTTCACGGTCCTATATCGGGACAGGAATAAATAATAATAACCAGTTTTCTAAGCCAGTATCTAGTGATCCCAAGTGGGAAGCAATTGTTAAAATGACAAAGAAGCAACAGCCCTTGTGAAATTCTGAGGTAAATTCTCTATTTCTTCCGGTGTATAAAGGGCAGCCTGGTGCACTAAACTCCCGCTATGCGCGGGGTTCGGGGAAGGACCGGATTACAAGGGTCTATCTATGCAGCCTTATCATGCATTTCTGCAAGAGGCTGTTTCCACGGCTCAAACTAATGATCTCCTAGTCATATGGCAACAATTTTACCAGTTACGCCAAGGCTCCTCTTCTATTTCTTCCCATGTATAAGTTTATGTATTCTTTTCTTTGTCTGATATATTATCTAAGCGCGTTCTCTTTTTCTTAATTTCTCTTCTTGGAATTTCACCATTCTATCAGGAACTCGGAGCCTTGATACATATACAAGAAGCTCACTGGAAGATGTTAATGCATTACCGTGGTCCTCTGATTGTTTCATAATGCTTTCTTGTGCAAATCAAATAGTACAATGGGTGTGAAGGTGAACAATAATGTATAGTTTGCTCTATAGATTTTACACTTCATTTCTTAAGGTATAAAGGGCTTGTAACTGCCAACTCATATCCTGTAATTACATGATGGAATAACAGTTCTGTTGTACAGGTAATCTTGAGATTCAAGTTCAACTTAATCCCTTGCATTGGTTGAGAGATTTTGTACAGTAATCATAACCTATAATTGTAGTTTCTTGTTTATGCGATGGAGCATAATTGAAGGAAATTTCTTGTTTCCGAATGAGAGGTAAATGTATCGATATGGGACAAAAACCTATCATTTAAGTGGAGAAGGAATAGATAGTCAGTGAGTTTCAAACCGTGTGTCAACTGGCTCTAGATATTGGGAGGAATTCAAAAATAGACAGATTTACCAGTTGTCATTCAAAAATAGTCTCAGCTTCAAAAGTACTCGAAATCTAGCCACTTTTCATGTAAAGATAAATCTGAACGAATACTGTTCAAAATCCGAAAAATACTCCAGCATAATATATTGGAATTCTAGCATAAGTATACTAGAACTCCAACATATTATAATAGAGTTCCAGCATAAGCATACTGGAACTCCAGCATAATATACCGGAGTACTGGAAGTTCATACACAGGTGCTCCAATTTCCAGTATATTATGCTAGAATTTTTTGCATGTTGGAGTTCCAGCATAATATGCTGGAAGTTCATATACAGGTGCACCGATCTCCAGTATATTATGCTGGACCGGTCCCTGTTGCAGCAAAATAGTAGCTATTTTTTAATGACTTTGCAAACGCTGGCTATTTTTGAATGACCAGTCCGAAAAGTGGCTAGCGCGTGCTATTTTAACCTAGATATTTGCTTGCATTAACCCCGAAGAGCTAGCTTTGTAATGTGTTCCTTTGATGTATTTTAGTATTTATAACGTGTTCCTTTGATGCCTCTTGTAAAAATATAGGTTAAGATTGCGTACAATAGACCCATGTGGTCCAACCCTTTCCCGAACCCCGCACATAGCGAGAGCTTAGTGCACCGGGTTGCCCTTAATGTGTTCCTTTGATATACAGACACGTAATGCAAAAATTAATAACGCAAAAAAATGTTAAAATGTTTGGTTCTGATGTATTTTAGTATTTAAAATGTGTTCACGTTATAAGTTTTAATTTTGTCAATTTAATTGTATAAATCCATGTATTACTAATATCCATGCGCCAAATGCTGGGAGGGAGCAATAAAACGACTTCATACTTACGAACTAAATTTCAGAGTATTTGCTCGGCATCACTAAAACAAGGACAACATAACAAACTCTTTCACCAGAATTCAAACTAAGCAAACTTTGCTGTGCTGAAAAGTGAGGTCTCCCAATTGTCTGATTATCAGTTTAAAAGCAATAATTTAAGGTGAGATCAGTAAATTAATGTACGGTATATTGATATGTACATAAGAAATGTCCTATTCTATAGAGAACACCAGTCATTATTTTCACATTGTTGAGACATACTATAAATTCACCTCATCCCAAATTAACTACTCACTGCATTAAAAAAAATGAATGATAAAACCAAAAATTGAACCATCCTAAGGTTTGATAACACGACCTTTGTATTGCCCTCGACGAATAACAAAGTCATCAGGAGGTTGAAACTCTTCCAACCAAGTAACCTCTGAGAATATCTTCCCATCCACCTCGAGCTCGCCTTAACGATGCAAAGCATTTAAAGTAAGATTTGTAATACAGTTGCATGTTCATATTCATATAAAAGTTGGCACCAGAGTTATTACCAGGTAGATCTCCTCGAGGAGACCTTCGGAAATAAGTGCAATGACGTCCATCATTGGAAGAGTAAGGTGGAGAAAGGATATCAAAAATAGCACAAGGGGTTATAGCTTTGAAACAATGAATATTGCCTCCATTCGTTGGATACAGAGTAGTTGTCCCGCATGGAGCAGTCATCTCACAATCTTTAAAAAGCTTAGCTGGTCTTGTACCTGAAAACCATTTAAAACAGGTACCGAACATAGTAAATGCCAGCATAACCTAAGATCAAGATTTTGCATGACAATTGATCCCAATCAAAACAGTTCCAAAGAAGCAACTCCTTCCAGCCAAATGACACAATGGCCAGCTCTCTCCAGTAATACATTATAGTTCCAAGACTCTAGACTTGAGTACTGAGTCTTAAGGAAATTCAATGTCTTTGTTTTTCCTTTCTGTGAGACAGATATTAACAGTTACCATTTGTATAGGAACAATGCAACCATACAGTTCACCTTTGTGCAAAAGTATTGAGATACAAAATTCTGCAAGATATGCGAAGTAAACCCTTGGCCTTGCTAGTCTACTGAACTTAACTGTGATCATTTGTGCAATGAAATGCAAATTCCGCATAGGATGTGAATTAAACCTCGAATACGATTTACTATAAAAAGGACCAATAACTCTTGTTAAAGAACCATTACTATACTAGTCTTTTTACAAGGACCTTTTGTTATCGAATTCATGATATAGAGCATCACCAGGCCAAAACGAAACCAGCAAAAACAAAATGTTTTTTAAGTATCTTAATCACACTGAAACACAAACTATTGCCAATTGTAGTAGTAAGAAAAGAAAGGTCAGTCAAAGAACACCAAGTCCAAGTGAAATAGAGAAAAGAATGCCTGCCAACTAATCAAATTCCAGAGAATAAATCAAGCACTGATGTAACTTCAAAGTAACTGAACATCAGAACATCACATAAGACAACTCCACGTTCTGCAATGAAATGATATTTCAAAAAAGAGCATATTATCTCCATTAAGAAAGTCCTAAAAAACTTTCGTGCAAAACATCCGCTTCAAATAAGTACATACCTTCGGGTGGAACTGAAGGCCCCGGACTGTCGATCCAATCATAGGCTTTCACATGTAAGGAACCATATATAAGCTTACTTAAAACGGTCATCCCCGGGTGGTTATTTAGAGGAATGATTGAAGAAGGTGGCATGCAGAATATTCCCATCTGTAAGAACATTCAACAGGTTAGCGGATCTCACTTATGCAGTTTTCACATCACTCCTTATAGCACAACATCATCAATCTAATGGAATAAATAAAAAAAATCTAACAGTACGGCAACACTTACAGTGAAGCTCTCACATTCATGTATGTGCAGGTATTTGATTGGCAGGATCGATCGTATACCCCCATTATGCTCGCGCATGGTACCTTTCCAACTCCTGACAAGTTGTGCCTCCTGCTCAAGACCTACATCAGAAGGCTTGATTTTGTCTGAAACAAAATGAACAGCCGACGTACTAATTACATGAGAATTTCAAGAATAAAGCAATATAAATCTTAGGGTATCAGGCAAAGGATTCAACAAATATCTGACACTGCACCTCATAGTCTCAACGGATACTAGTCATACACATGAGAATATAGAAACTAAGGAATAAAGTCTCCAAAAAAATTACTTAAAACTGTGAATTTTGCAATTCTATGCAATATCTGACAAAAGAATGATATACATTAAAATGCTTCAGGAATGAACGGATTCTTCATGAAACCTGCATCAAACCAAATTGACTTGGATCAGATAGCAGATTGGAGAAGGAGAACATTTACTTCCCGAATTTAGCATCCTTACGGAAAAGGAAAAGTTTTATAGAGCATCATGGACCTTAATCCCCTTCATTTCTTAATACTGCTCCCCAATCCCAACTTCCTTATTTTCTCTATATAACTTAACTAATAGAGCCAGAAAAAAGCTTTGTTCCTTCAATCACCCTCCAACTAGCATAGCAGCTTCATATGGAGAGCTGAGATTTCACTTTTTTCCATAGACTTCTCATCCTCATTCAGTCCAAAAAGATGCTGCTGCTCTCTTCACCCCTGTAACGAACAAGTAAGGTAAATCCTTAATACACGTCGTTAGATTAAATAGTACCAACCTCAAACCTTTTCATCTCTACCTTCTCAGCACCAATCTAACACCCACCCAACACCATCACAGAAAAGAAAAAGGAGCTCCTATACAACCTCCCAGGAGTTGCATGACATCAATGACAGCTTACAAAATCAGTAACTTCATGATAATAAGAGATGGAATACATTTATAGACTAATTTAAGTTTTAAAATTGTTACTTTTCCTTCTTTCACACAAAGGAGAAATAAAATAGGGCTACTGGACTTTTTGGTGTCGGCCGCAAGTATTTGGTTCTTCATTTGTGCTTCAGTTGATAAAAATGTATGTGTTGATTTTCCTATCTCACTTGTGCTATAACATCCATGAGTTCTTTGCAGTAAGAGACTGTTGACATCGAAGAGAGTTAAAGGGATGTTATCCACCTGACATTGTTGCTAAGCAGGATATCTGATAAACAATCTGATCAATACTTATCCATAAAACAAACTATATGATTCAATTGTAAGAGCTGGACATTCATCTTCGGAAGTTTCTTCAGATTATCCTAATCAACCAGATCCTTCATTGGCCTCATTGTACCAGTGTTAAATGAGTTGGAACAGAGTTTTAAAAAAACTTGCTAAAACTAGATATCACACACATATCAGACTTGATAAACATACATGATTCCACATAGGTTTAATCTGATTGTGTATCATTTTAGCCAACTCCACCATTCTGATACAGGAACACACCAATCCTCTCCAACAACATTTTGGAGTCCCTATGATCAATCGATCATATCATGATGCATCCACCTCATTAGTTTCCTTAAGAATCTCAGCTCCATTTCCCACCCACCCGACATACCTCGTGTAATTTTGGTGAACCAAATTCAATTTCTTTAATAACATTGTCGTACTCAAGTTACTTTTTGCCTTTCTTCCACATTGCGCTAACAATAATTAGAAGTCCTCCCTATACTCACAAATCTTATAATTCCAACCATAGAACTATATGTAGTTTGTTCTCTGACCAACTAAGAGCCCACAAATTGTAAGGTGACTTGGAGATGCACAAGCAATCCATATGAAATCCTACAGCAATCATGTATGCCTATTGCTACCAAAATACTTTCTTGCCTCTTATGAAAGAAAATCTGTCAGAAAATATTTGACAAGCAAGCGTCACACTAGTCATTCTGATAGCAACTATCTAGTAGTTTCTCAGATAAAGCCTAGAGGATCATCAGGATTTTGTTTCAATGATCTTTAGTATAATCATTTTTAGCTTTAACCTTTCCGCTTTCATTGAACATCCTCCTCTCAGGCTCTCAATAGTCCAAACCTCATAGCGGATCCCACATACATACTTCCACATCTTAGTGCTATAAAATCTAGAGACATTGGTGACATTTTCTTGAACAGAAAAGCGATTTGAAACAAATCTGCAGAGACTTGTAAGCATTTGTAGAAATGCAACCTTATCCCTAAATCTGATGCATAATGAGTTCGGTGGGAGAAATTTTCCGCTGTTTTAATTATCTAAACTATCATTCAAAAAGTTTTGCAACTTTAATTTTAGTGTATAACGAGAGTAACTTGGCTCTATAGTTATTTGTAAGCACCTCCATTCTAGAATAATCATAAACTTGGAGAATGGATTTCAAAAGGCCACCAGGGCTTTGGTCTAGTAGTTAGAGCATGGGATGTGTGGATTAGGCACATGTCATGTTCGAACCTTGCCACAAACAAAAGCCTTGTACTTGAGTAAAGAAGGGTAGAGGGGCGAGTCAACTATCCACCGAGTTTCAAACCGTGCGCCATTGGAACTCGGGGATTTCTCGAATATGAAAGAAAAAAGAGAGTATAAATTTTAGAAGGACCTGCTCATACTCATCATATTTCAGTGCCCAAATAGCCCTCTGTTTCTTTCTTTTCTCTAAATCATCAATCATCAATCATCAACCAGCCCAGTCCACACAAAAATCCTTTGAACCCAATTAATTTCCCGTTTTAAGACACAAATCTCCAAAAAGTAGAGCCTCAAAGACGCCCGTGCAAATTCATATAAGAATCAAAATTACATTTAATCTCCACAGTTTCCTAATCAAGTCGTAAAGAATCAGACTTCCATTTAAATCTCCGTGTTTAACTAATCAACAATAAGGAAGTTGGAATGACATTGAAATATCATGCGCTAAACTAAATGCACACTTAAGGTATAAAATTGAAAGGCATAATTGACCATGAAATATACGTAGTACAATCACAGAAACTGGAAGAGATTTAGAAAGAGTTTGAAGGGGGTGGGAGATTTTTCATATACTTCTTGTATACGAGGTTTCTCCCCAGTCCCCACAACTTCAATAAAATTATTCTCTTATCCAATAAAAGGGGGTGGGAGAGCAAAAAACTTTCAAGAGGCAGGGAGCAAACATTATTTTCAACAGACAAGAACATTCAAGCTCAGATAGTGCTAAAGTGAACACCATACCACTCTCTAGCTCAAAAGGCACAGAGGCAGTTGGAAAGGTTTTTTAGGAAGAAGGCCCCTCACCCTCCTATGTTGAAAAAGGGAAGTGTAGATCTTAAATATGAAAATGATAATATCAAAGTTATTAGTCTCGGGATAAAGATATTTCCTTCACAATATTGGCAGCAACAGAGAGCTCAAGCATGAAAAGCGTTTTGAGTACTCATCGGATTCAAGAGGTCATGTTAGTTTGCTCGAAAAGAAAAAAGATAGATAAACCCATTATTAATGAAAGAGGGCTAAACATATGCGGCTCATTTGCTCGGCAATGCTGCACTCATCTTCTGTTGGCATAGTACAACTAGTATAATATTTTCATTTTCTTTGAAGAGATGAATTTAATGTTCTCCAACTAGTTTTGTTAGAGGGGACTAGTTTATACAAGCATATTTACACCCTGAGCGCAACAAGACAATAATTTTTTGTCCTTTGCCTAATACTATATTTCCCCATTTGCCCAGGCTGCAGACAGCAGGGGCCGATTTAGGGGGGCGGAAGGGGATTCACACGAACCCATAAAAAGCAAAATCTGTTTTTTACCTCTATATATTATGTTTTGAATCCCTTTGACACAGCCCAAAAACATAGCTTAGTGGTCAAGAGGGTTCCAAACTTTTGTAAGGTCATTGGTTCAATTCCCACTAGCTACAATCTTTTTTAACTTTTTTCATTTTTGAACCCCCTTGGCGAAATTCTTACCTCCGCCACTGGCAGACAGTAGCTAAAACCCCATATTTTCTAATGTATTACTACCAACAAACACCGCATTTATCAATTTGAGGAAGACCAACAAAAAATTAGTGTCCATGCCCAACCTCAAAATGGCATAAGAATAATCATGTACATAGGTTTTCAAAGAGAAGCGTGCTACAACTATACAGTGCAAAAGTAAGAGATTCTACTCAAATATAGAAATGATACATAATTGTACTCCAACTCCTAAACAAAAGAATTATACTACAGAACCCCCAAACAGCCTTCACCAACATGTAGAAATAAATAGAGTAAACAGAAGAAAACACAAATGAATCAACTAAACCATGTGGCTTATTGAAATCTATACATGTGGCCAACATTCAAGTAAAATTAAAAAAGAGACTAAAATTCAGAACACCTACCTAAGAGAGAACGAACTTTCTCAAGAGCATCTTCTGATATGGGTCCATCAGGAGAAAGTGATGCTATACAGGCATTATAAAGCTTTTGTACAGCTGGCATGTTTATCGAACCGACCACCTTTACCCTGACCGCCTATGCACCGAACTTATCTTATAGCTAACAACTTGAAGCTAACCCAAAAAATCCTGTCTGAAGGGTCCTCTATTTCTCAGAAGACCCTTCAAGTAAACAATCAGGCACAGGCTGGACTTCAAATGCAAACAAAGCCGATGATCATGTATCCACGTGGTGCTTAACAGATCCAGCTATCTATTATCATTGCCACCTACTAAACAGACAAAAAAACAACCGTTAAACTCAGCGTTGCAGAAAACCACAAAAATTTCAACATTGTATTTTGAACTTGAGAAGAAACTATTAAATACCAAACTAAATTACCAAAAATAGGACTTGAAGCCCTATTAATAGCAAAATATTTTTGACAAACCCAGCATTCCATTTCCAATAAAAAACAAGTTCATGTAAAGCTGATATTCCATGCTAACTTCACTAGTTAAAAATCCATACTTGTAAATGGATTAAAATTATATAGCCTAACAATGTTAAACTATTTGCAGTATCAATGTAGTTTATATGGTAAGAGGTTACTTACCTTATTTTTCTAGTTACCAATAATACTTACTATAGACGCTTAGCACTAATTAGCTTTTAAGTAACCTAACTTTTAAAACCGTCAAATGCCCCAAGGGGCCGTTTGGTTGTGAACAGGTTACACTGTGATTATAATGTGGGGGTTATATAATACGGGAATTAAATTATGATGGGATTATTTTGTAATATACTTTTATTAGCAAATTATCAAACAACTGAAAACTAGAAAAGAAGAAAAAGAAATTGAAGTAGCTTGGAAATTGAGTACTATAGGAACTAGGAAGAAATTCCCAAGCAAAAGTGAAACTCCATGTCAATTGAAGAACTCAATGGAAGAAAAAAAAAAATACTCATTCAGTGATTAATGAACCGGAAACGAAACAAGCATATCATTAAATAGCTGCAAAAGAAAACGAAACACATAAATATAACCTTATCAGTTCACCTAAAGGATATTTACAGTTAAGTCTCCATAAAAAGTGTGATTTGTAATCCTGAAAAATAAGACAGATTACCTGCTACAACATGTAAAAGTGACCTGAATGACGATGTATATATAACTTAAACTCTACATACAATTAATTACGCCTCATTTTCAGAAGATTGATCTAAGACTATTTTCACTATAGACGTCTAACTTACCATAACCCTACTTATTTACCTTATGCTTGGAAAAATCTATTTATGCGGAGCTTATACACACACACACACACACACATATATAAATATATATATATATATATAATATATAATATATATGTGTGTATGTGTATATGTATATCGCGTGAAAAAAATGAAATTGCTGTAACGATTGTTAATGGAAACAGGGAATCAAAAGCGGAGAAAATCATACCTTTTGAAGATGAAATACAGAGAGATCGCGGGGAGGTAAGAGGAGAAAGGGAGAGAGAACGATTGCGTTTTCTCTGAGCCTTTTTGGAGGGGTTGGAGATTTGGATTTTATTGGAGTTATAGACTATGGCGCTCGCTCTCATTGACCACCTGGAATTATTGCCCTAAATTCTGCTTGTAAGTCACATGAATATCATTTTTGTCTTTTTATTTCTCTTTCTATATATTTATTAGTATAATATTATTATCGTGGAAAATTGAATGGATTAGCATTCGCAATTACTATAGAATAGATTGATTTTGTGGGTGTATAATAGTGTAAACACCTTTTTAGGTTAGTTAGAATCAGTATATTGAGTAACTCTTAATATAATCTTATACATATCACCAATAACATATTCGATGTAATATTACAAGTGAAGTATGTGGTGAAGACTAACTACAGTGTTTGATGGTGGTGATGGTTGTGCGCCATAAATAGTGGTAACTAGTGGTGGCAGTAACGATAGCGGTGTGAAAGGACAACATCTTAATAAGACTTTGTTATATGTCATAATCATTCAAATATATTAGAATTCATTAAATGATTTGTAAAAGAATAATATAAATACATTTAACAATTTAGATATGAATGTTACAATTCATTCAAATGCTAAAAAAATAAATACATGTAATGGCCAAAATAGAAACAATTCAAATTTAAAGCTTCATTAAATGCAGACATTTAAAGCCTTAGCCTACTAAGCTAACACGTGATGTAATTTAAATCTTAACCCTCGAAAAGATCATACGTGAAAATATCCCTCGAAGAGTGAATGAACAAATAGCAGGGCCACAAGAGCATTCTGAAAAAAAATAGTTAGTTTAGCCATTCTTGGGCTTGCTATTAGAGTTTAGTTCTATATGCATTAGCAAAGTAGTCACTAGTCCGACTAAATTAACGTTTTAATAGTTCAGAATTTAATAATAATTCCTGGTTTTTGAGCTCATATAAGTGCAAATCCATGAATGATTCATGGTTTTAAAATTTGCATTGTACTTCAATAATTTTGAATATCTACTATCCGTTCATGACCATCGAGTATTACACAATGGCCAAACCTAGCATAACCGAATTCTTTTACGGTGTATTTTTTCATTGGGTTCCCTTTTCTCAATTCATGAGACAGGGGTTGAGGCAAATTGGAAATAATTACCGTAATATAGTAAGTAAAATTTGAGGACTTTTTTTTTCACTTTTAGCTCGCGTTATAAATTGTTTTTATTTAAAAAGCAGATAAGTGTATAAAATTTATAGTATAATTTTATATATAACATACTGATAGAATATATGAGTCCACCAAACTATATAGAGACCAGGTCTTATATAAGTTCCACATAGAAGGCTAATGTAGCATTAAATAAATGGAACAGGGAGTTTTTACGTGGAAAAATCCTTGCTCAAGAGGATAAAAAACCACGGCCTACACTGGTAGGATTTCAACTTCAATATGAGCAACTTTAGATTACAATCTAGGAATTAAACTCTTAATCTCTCACTAACTTGTAATACGCCTATTACAAGCCACTTTGCAATACACCTATTACAAAGGCTTCAACTCATGACTAACTCAAGTCACAACACAAACACTAAAGGTTTATGATTTGCAAGGGGTTCCTAAGTAACGCTTCTAGATAAGCAAGGTAGGAATTACAATGAAGAAAAATTACAAAGTTACAACTCAACTAAGGACATACAAGATACTTGTTGTAGGAACTGGTCCGTAGTAGTGTTGTTCTTTGTCCTTGATGCACTTGAGAATTGAATGCTTGATTGTCAGATGCTTGAGTGAATTCTCTAAGTGTTCAAGTGATGTTTTGTTGTAATGTTTTAATGTTAATACAACATGGATGACATCACTTGAATGATGTAATCACTTGGTAGGTCAATGAGAAGTGACTGCTGAACTGTGTTGCACTGTTTCTGTGTACAATGCAGGCAGTCACTTTCCAATTGTAGACAATTGACTTCGTACTGTTTTCAGGGAAACTCAAGGGTATGAGGTCCCTGTGTTAGAGTCCATTGATTTGAGTTGTGTACCAAGTGTGTCAGGTTCCTTATCTGGTTCTTTGACAGTAAGCTTGTTAGATCATAAAAACATAAAGCTAAGGTACTGTAAACCCATCAATTTCTCCCTTTTTGGTGATGACAAACTTAAAAATTAATAACACATGTTTAGAGCAGAATTAACCAGATGAAGTAACATGAACTTCACAAATTCCCCCTCACTTTATGCTTTACCCTTAATCAGATCCATGTTTCAATTATACTTTCCCTTTTTGGCATCAGTAAAAATACACAAGCAAGCAATTAACATAAAGAAGTCTAGCCTAGCTAACTCATGTCACAGATGTGCACACAGCATGATAGAAAAGAGAAGCAGAAAAACATAAGCAATAAACAGCAAAAGAGGATAGTTTTTTATAAAACATAAGCCTTTGCCATTACAGGAAAAGGCAAATTTGAATTGTTATCATCAGGAGCAGTATAAGGAAATTTCATCCACACCATAAAAGAAAAAACAAAAACAACTGCCATAGAGTCATAAAAAACAAAAGAGATAATCCATAAACTGGTCACTAGAGGGTTAGCCTAGGGGACACTAGAAGGAGAGGGTTTAGAAGCTGCAGCAAGAGTGTTGAGAATGAGATCAATTCGGGCATTGACCGACATTTGCTCTGCGAGCAGTTTCTCCTTCAGGTTTTCCATTTGTTGCCTGAGATCAACATTTTCTTTGGTCAGACGAGCGATCTCCTCATTTGACCCTGGTGCCCCTTGGGCCTGCTGACTCTCCAGAATGGCATTCCTTGCCTTCAACTTCCTAATCTCCTCAGTAGCACTATTTGGGCATTTATAAGCTGAGAGATTGTTGAAGTACTTCCTATTCCTCCGCCTTTTTCAACACATTCACATTCCTCCAAAGTAGTTTGAGAGAAGATTCGCTTCTTGATCCCTATCTTGGGTTGTCCCAAAGGCACATCAAAGAACTTGAAGACATGCGTGAGAAGAAATCCATAAGGAAGACCATGGGTTCTATCTTTAAAAGTTGCCACCTTTTGCATGTTCTCAATCATGATGGCTGGCAAGTTTACAGCGCGGAACCCATCCAATACGGGGAAGAACCTTGTTTACCAACTCAAACAATAGCTGATAAACAAGAAGCAAAGCTTTCTTGTGTACCCGTTCTCCCCGCTGGACTGCTCCCTCATTTACAATAGCATTTCTAAAATTTGAACTGCATACATTCTTTACAGAGGACATACCATCAGCATGGACCTTAGGTATGTCCCCAAGCAGAGCAACATCCAAAACAATATCAATTCAATTGACCAGAGCACAAATATGATCAGTTTCAACAGGAAAGAGGTCTGCATAAAAACTTTGGACCTCATCCTCATAGACTTTGGGCACATCCACCTTGAACAAATGTCCCCACTGTTGAAATTCGACCATGTCTAGTATTTGCCAGAGCTGTCACACCTCCTTTTTCCGCCCCCACGGGGGTGCAAGGAGTTCTCTCCAATTAAAGGACAGTCGAAACGGGATTTGTTTATTTGTTTCAGAGTCGCCACCTGGGAATTTTATGGCGTCCCAAGTCACCGGTTTTAATCCCGAATCGAGGAGAATATGACTCTGTTTGTCATTCT